CCCCAAAACCCCAAAACCCCAAAACCCCAAAACCCCAAAACCCCTATTTGAGGAAAGATTATTGAATAATTAGTTAAAATAGTTAGTTTAGAAGCTCCTCTTTTGTTACATATTGGAGGATATGTCTGTTTGGAATACTTTGAAGAAGTTCTCCTGGTGGGATGTTGAGGATTTCATCCTCAACACCCTTCTTGAGAAGATGCTTTAAATCTCCAGAATCAGTCCTTTTCACAATATGGGAAAGACTTAGCTTGCTTCATTCACCCTTGAAAGATATTTTAATCTTCCTTCGTGAAGGCTTATGGATTTTTGGTTCATTCTCGAATTTCCAGAACTCAACTGGAAAGTGACAAATCAAGGAACTAGAATGTTGAGAAGCTAAGCGTTTCTCAATGTTTGAGTGTATCAATACCTTTGTAGCTACTAGTTGCTTGTTGAGGTCCTTAAATCTTCTTCTTTTGTTATCACACTGCTTGATTTTCTTCTCTATGGTATTTTTCAATTCTGACTTGATTTTGTCTAAATTATTGAAATCCTTACATTCCTCAGTATGAATAGAGGAAATCTCTTCATCGTACATTTCAAAAGGAGGGATCTCAGTGGAAGATAGTTGTGTGTAATCAGTACTGGTCATCTCGTAAAACCCAGGCTTGATCATTACTTGTTCTTGGGAGATTCTCTCAGCTATGTCTAGAGCTTCGAGGGCATAAATATATGGTCTAGTTACTTTACCTAGAGAACTTATTATTGGATGCATTCCCATTTTGCTTAGGTGTATACGCAAGAAATCGTCCAATTCATACAAATCGTATACTTCTTTTCTTGAAGAGTAGATGTAAGGGGTTAGGATACTCAAGATCATGTTCCGATTAAATCTCCTTTCTGTATTGCTAGGCAAAGCATCTGAGTCTTCTATAAGATCTGCTTTTTTAAGCTTAGAATATGTTCTGGAGGGCATTTTTAACATTGAAATGCTCAATCTTCGGCATATTTTTGTCTAATTTTTGATATAATTTTCGGGGTTTTGGGGTTTTGGGGTTTTGGGGTTTTGGGG